AACCTCCCTCGACCTGCTGGCCACACTCCTCTTAATACACCCCAGGATACCATTGGCCTTCTTGGCAACAAGGGCACATTGCTGGCTCATGGTCAGCTTGTCATCTACCAGGACTCCCAGGTCCCTCTCAGCAGAGCTACTTTCCAGCAGGTCAGCCCCCAGCCTGTACTGATGCATGGGGTTTGACCTCCCCAGGTGCAGCACTCGACACTTGCCCTTGTTGAACTTCATCAGGTTCCTCTCCGCCCAGCTCTCCAGTCTGTCCAGGTCCCGCTGAATGGCAGGGAAGCCTTCCAGCGTATCAACCACTCCTCCCAGTTTTGTGTCATCAGCAAACTTGCTGATGGTACACTCCGTCCCCTCGTCCAGATCATTGATGAACAAGTTGAACAAGACTGGGCCGAGTACTGAGCCCTGGGGAACTCCACTAGCTACCGGCATCCAACTGGACTCTGCCCCGCTGATCAGAACCCTAAAGATGCAGGGAGAGCATCTTGTCCCATGCCTGGCAGTTGGGCTCTGTGTGAAAAGGGCTTTGAATGTGGCCTGTGGGACAGGCAGGTTGGTGTGGAGGGTTGGCAGCACCCTTAGCTGCCAGCCAGGTAGGGAGGTCCTGGGTTCTGGGTCATCACCAGGCACCCCAAGCCCAGCTCTGCCAGGACATCATCCCCCCCGCCCCCCTTACAGTCAACACCAGGCTCCATACGTGGTTGAAATGCTGTGTCTGGAACTGCTGTGATGTTTCAGGTGACCGGGTGACTGTCAGGTCAGTGTGACCCTCTCCAAAGCCTTCTCACCTGTCCCACCTGCCCCACACAACTTTTTCTGTGCCTTGCAAGAGGATGCTGTGGATATGGGGAGGGCTCCCTGCTCTTCTCCCCCAGGCAGCCACCCTCTTACCCTCAGCCCTTTTTTCTCCCAGTTAACCAGTAAAGGTGTCAGCAACCAGTATAAGATATTTCCACTACAGACCCCATGATGAGTTTCCCTCTTTCTAGCCTACATCTCTATTTGCTGCCACGTTTGTGTTTCATTGGGATGTTGTATCTGGTTGTGGGGGGGTTTATGGCTTAGAGGGTTTGATCTTGACTCGGAGAGTGAGTCACCATGTGGCAAATGGGATCCCATCACAGATTTTACTTCCTTGCCTGGTGTTATTTGCAAATGAGGATTTGCAGAGCTCAAGCAGCTGCTTCTCCTTCTAGCTGAAAACCTCTTCCCAGCCCCATTTAAAGGCTTATGAATCAGGTGCTGAGAGCAATGTGCAGGCAGGGAATGTGTATCTACCATGGGCTGGGTGGGAGAGCTATTAAAAGTCATGGCAATCAATCCTGGGAGATCTAGCGGACACTTTAAATCAACTTGCAAATGCAAAGCGGCTCTGAACCGAAGGATGGGGAGAGAGGTTGTCCCTGTGCTGTGCCATGTGGTTATCTGTCTTTGATAACTCACAAGGAGGAGGTTTGGAAGGGAATAAATAGAGACCATAAAGTGACTCCTTGATGCTTGGGAAGATGCCCTGGATCCGTGCTCCGTTTAAATGTGCTCCAGAGAGGGTCTTGCTCTAGCTGAGGTGATCCCAAGCTCATTATGGGTTGTCTAGGATATTTTCAGCTGGTGAAATGCTCCTTTGGGTGTCCCCTGGCTTGGCTGCATTGCTGGGTGAAGGCAGGGCTGGTTTGGCTGGGTGCCGAGCCCCTCCTGCCCACCAAGTGTGTTGCAGCCTTTGCCATGGAGCACCTTTCAGCCAAAACAAGGGATTTCCATCACAATTGGTTTGCTGTTCTTTGGGGCCCCAGAGCACTGTGCCACAGCCCCGGGCTGCCTCTCGTCTTCCCCCAAGCTGAGATTTTCCAGGTTAAGGAAAATGTGGCAGTAGCCATGCCCTGAGCATGGGGCTGGGGGATGCAAGACCTCCCTGCATGCAGCTGTACCTCTCCTCCCCAGGAATGCTGGAAAGGGGTACAAAATGCTATCTCCATTGCTGCTCCTGGTGCCAGCATCTGCTCTACCACCTCTGCCAACCCCACGTGGAGCCATGGGGCAGTGTCAAGCAGGATCTGAAGGAGGTGGCAAGGGGGAGGCAGAAAAAGAGTGTGTTAGTAGCAAAGCCCTGGCCAACAGACATACCTGCAGCTCAGAGAGAAATAACCTGATGCTTTTTTGATCTTGGGTGATTCATCCTGGCCTTGATAGAAAATCACGGTCTTGAGCCTCGTGCTGGATGGGGGATGCAGCACTGGGGCTGTGTGGCTTAGAATCATAGAATCAATTTGGTTGGAAGAGACCTTTGAGATCATGGAGTCCAACCTTTAACCTACCCCTGCCATTCCACCACTAAACCGTGTTCCTAAGCACCACATCTACACATCTTTTAAATACCTCCAGGGATGGTGACTCAACCACTTCCCT